TTCCGACTCAAACGTACCTGCGACATCTGATTGTGACATTCAGTCAAGCAGGCATGGCTATATAAAACCTTCTCCTTCTATAAATGTATACAAAAAGACGCAATTCAATATAAGTTATGTATCTGGTTCACATCTTTATCTTTAGTGCTAAGTATTATCTGCTAACTCGTGTTTACAGGTTACCAGATGAGAAGATAGAGGAGCTGCACACCTCTGTTTAGTCGATAGGGACTAGACATATTGACTTCAGCTTTCAATTGGTACAATGTTAATTTAGCATATCATCTTGATCATTGGAGAGTGGGCCACTAAACTCCACTAATCTACAGAAACTACCTACAATATACTAGCTAAGATTAGAGACGAAAACCGCACTGTTAAAGGAAAAGAGTTTCAGTTATATTACTGAGACAATATTTAAATACCAGTCAAATCCAGTAGTGAAGCTTAACTACGTTCATCACAAAAAATACAAACTACAAATCAATTATAAATAGTGAAATATGATAGCTGTAGTTAATACTGAAAACAAAATAGTCATTATACCATGGGCTACAAAACATGAACGTAACACAGATACATCGGTAATTGCACCTATGCAATTTGGAAACAGATACAGCATGCCAAAAACGGGTAACACTGCATGCACCATACAGCTGTTTCGTCCTTAAAGGACTCATCGGTGATTCTAGGGACCAAAATGTTGGAAATCAAAAGGTCAAAAGAGACAGGTGCGTAAAATCCCCTAATTTAAAATGAATTAAAACAGAGGAATACTGGTTAATTTCAATTGATCTAATACTGTGAAATCATAAATTTTCGCGGGACATTAAATTTCGTTTATTTCGTGGATTACAAAAATACACGAAATTAAATCCCCGAGAAAAAATAAATTTGGTATAAAATAAATAGTAGAAAATAAAAAAATCAGTGGAATATAATGTCCTTGAAACAGCCTAGTATATGAAAACCACGAAATTTTAACGCCACGAAAATAAATGATTCTACAGTATGTAAAGTATGTGTATTATGAGCTCAAAAGAAATTACTGTGGCCATTAAGTCTACTGCAAACCTTAGCGACTGAAAATACACAAGTACAGTCAACCACTTTTTATCTTGAAAATTGAACGTAATTAGAATGCGGGCTTTTGTACATTTAAAAGTTGGTTATATCATACTGTTTGCCATCAATGAATTACAGGTCAAAACGATCACCCTACAATAATATACAAAAAATACATATATAAAAAGTCATGTTTTATAATGGTATCTTTCAGGTAATTGATGCTTTTACACATTTCTATCTTACTTAAACTCCAGGAAAATACTATTCCGTCTTTGCGTATTGCAGAGTTATCTTCTCGTGGGACCAGGTATTGATTGTTACGTCCCTTGTGTGTGAGAGTAACGTCATCAATTTTTGAGAAAACGTCGTAATTTTCTCACACAAACCAATGACGTAACAATCAATACCTGCTCCCAAGAGAAGATAACTCTGCAATACGCAAAGACGGAATATAAACAGTATTGAACTACTGTTCTTTAGAATACGCAAACTCAGCAGGGGAGCTATCTTGAACTCGTATACAAATATAATGAAACCTAGAATTAAGAAGGAGAGATACATTAAAAAACCCTGACAAATAGTACAACAAATCTTGTTTATGGTTTATGTATTCGAGAGATAAAAAAATAAGCAAAAAGAGCAGAATGACTGCGAATCTTGTTTCTTTTCTAAGGGAGTCAAAATTAACGTAGGTTGTTCGTTTTGTCTTTTACTCTAACTTTTTCAAAATAAAGATTTGTGCACATGAAGTTGGTAAATACACAGCCAGACATGACTACAAGTATGTGTCGCTTTAACCGCAGTGATTTAATACTTATATTATTCTGCCTCTTGTCACGGTTAATAAAATACAAGGTATTCCGAATCGCCCATAAATACAATTACCTTTGGAGTGTTTCGGCTTGCTTGATTCACTAGCCATGGTTTACAACTTAGCGCTGAAGCTGGATCGTTTTAACACATGAGTTTAAAGCCATTTCTATAAATCATTAATACAGACAAAAACAGTGGGCTGATATAAAGTTAACACTTAGCCGTTCTTACAGTCCTGTCTTGTTGTTTTCATATGTTTGTTTGCCCAAGTACCAGGCAATTGTGCCGAATTCTACTTCAGCCTACGGTACCCTCATTACGTAGAACTCCTCGTACATCTGCTTTAGTCTAACTTACATCATTAAAGGGAAATCTGCTACTGCCTATGGGAAATCATTATGTTAAATGCCTCGTACATCTACTTCTGCCTATGGTACATTATGATGTAAAATGCTCCGTACATCCACTTCTGCCTATTGTACATTATGATGTAAAATGCCTCGTACATCTACTTCTGCCTATGATACATTATGATGTAAAATGCCTCGTACATCTACTTCTGCCTATGATACATTATGATGTAAAATGCCTCGTACATCTACTTCTGCCTATGGTACATTATGGTGTAAAATGCCCCGTACATCTACTTCTGCCTTTGGTACATCATGATGTAAAATACCCCATTCATCTACTTCTGCCTATGGTACATTATGATGTAAAATGCCCCGTACATCTACTTCTGCCTATTGTACATTATGATGTAAATTCCTCGTACATCTACTTCTGCCTTTGGTACATCATGATGTAAAATGCCTCGTACATCTACTTCTGCCTATGGTACATTATGATATAAAATGCCTCGTTCATCTACTTCTGCCTAGGGTGTACATCATGATGTAAAATACCCCATTCATCTACTTCTGCCTATGGTACATTATGATGTAAAATGCCCCGTCCATCTACTACTGCCTATGGTACATTATGATGTAAAATGCTCCGTACATCCACTTCTGCCTATTGTACATTATGATGTAAAATGCCTCGTACATCTACTTCTGCCTATTGGGTACATCATGATGTAAAATGCCTCGTACATCTACTTCTGCCTATTGGGTACATCATGATGTAAAATGCCCCGTCCATCTACTTCTGGGTATGGTACATTATGATATAAAATGCCTCGTACATCTACTTCTGCCTATGGGGTACATCATGATGTAAAATGCCCCATACATCTACTTCTGCATATGGTACATTACGATGTAAAATGTACCGTCCATCTACTTCTGCCTATGGGCCATTATGATGTAAAATGCCTCTTACATCTACTTCTGCCTTTGGGGTACATCATGATGTAAAATGCCCCATACATCTACTCCTGCCTATGGTACATTATGATGTAAACAGCCCGTACATCTACTTCTACATTCCGTATATTATAATTAACTTACATCATGACACAAATAATATAGAATTTCACGTACATCTACTTCATTCTAACTTGCATCATTAAACAAAATTCTACTTCAGCTTACGGTACCCTCAATATGTAGAATTTTTCGTACATCTGCTTTAGTCTAACTAACATCCTTTGATGAATTTTACAGTGGAACTACATTATTAAAATGAAATAAATATCTTCAATATATATAAATGCTATTTAGATATGAGAAAGTCAACTGATGGGTCACGGTCAGTGACCTTTCTTTTACCCAATTACATTACTCCTTCCTGAAAGCAACTCGGGTCTCTCTTGGTCTTTCGTTATTACAGCGATAAATCCAGGGAATCCATGAGTCATGATAATAAACATGGTTGCGCCAATAGGAAAAAGCTGAACGCCTCGCTGGGTTTATTTTAAGATTATACTTGCGTGATTAATACATTTTCATTTCTTCAAAACGAAATAGACTAAGAGTGCATTAAAGTTACTAGGAAACGGTTTCATGAAACTATTAATTCATGCTTTTCACACATACAAGTAAAGTACACTTTACGAAAACCCTATATGTCGAGCTATCTAAATGACACGCTGAACGTCATACACACCATCTGTCATAAAGCAAACACATAATATGCATCTAAGTAAATACACCATATGTATAATAAGCTAACACACCTATGTATCATAAGTACACACCATATGTATCACAAATATACACATAATATATATCATAAGTAAACACACCATATGTATCACAAACAAACACCATATGTATCATAAGTATACATACCATATATATCATGGGAAATCGCAACATGCATCCCAATAATACACACCATATGTATCATAAGTAAACAACATATATATTATAAGCAAACACACCATATGTAATACAAGTATACACATCATATATATCATAAACAAACACATCATATGTAACACAAGTATACACATCATATATATCATAAACAAACACATCATATGTTTCATAGTAAACACACCATATATATCATGGGAAATCACACCATGCATCCCAATAATACACACCATATATATCATAAGTATACACACCATATGTTTCATAAACAAACACACCATATGTATCAAAAGTAAACACATCATATGTATCATAAACAAACACACCATATGTTTCATAGTAAACACACCATATATATCATGGGAAATCACAACATGCATCCCAATAATACACACCATATGTATCATAAGTAAACAGCATATATATCATAATTAAACAACACATGTATCACAACAATACAAACCATATGTATAATAAATAAACAACATATATATCAAAAGTAAACAACAAAAATTAAAAGCAATCACACCATATGTAACACAAGTATACACATCATATGTATCATAAGTACACACACGATATGTTTTCCAAAGCAAACACACCATGTATCATAAGTATACACACCATATGTTCCTAAGCAAACAGAAGGATTATTATTCAAGATAGAAAAGTATGTTTCTAAATAAATTTTCCGAAGTTCCAATGCCTACATATTGTTTTGGCTTTATGAACCCCAAATAATATCTAATTAGATACTTCATTTTTTCGTATTTGTGGTAACTAATCTAATATTGCCAAAACACTTGTTCGAATATTATTGCAACACGATTGTGTATCCATGTATTGTATTTGTTTCAGACGTGATATTTGGTCTGTATACAACGAAGCCTCAGTCAAACCGACGAGGGAATGAATATCCGACCAAAACGGAAGAAAAATCCTTTGACATCATTCCAGTTTACTGCTCAATCCTGGGCTCGGTGATTGTGGGATTACTAGCGTACGTAATGTACAAACATTACTCGCGAATTCGGGACAAGAAGCGACACAAAGGCCACGACTTTCACGATGACGTAGAATATTCCAAAACCTCTGGTGCAGACAGTGGAGTTTTCGAGGACACAGATCATCACGGGTATAGACCATGCAAGGAAATAGGTCATCACTGCAAATGTAAGTTGTTAAGTAGGTCATCACTGCAAATGAAAGTTGTTAAGTAGGTCACCACTGCAAATGTAAGTTGTTAAGTAGGTCATCACTGCAAATGTAAATTTTTAAGTAGGTCATCACTGCAAATGTAAGTTTAAATAGGCCATCACTGTAAATATGAGGTGTTAAATAGGTCATCAATGTAAATGTTAGTTGTTATGTAGGTCATCACTGTAAATGTGAGTTGTTATGTAGGTCATCAATGTAAATACTCTACGCGTTGTTAAATAGGTCATCGCTGTAAATATGAGTTGTTTTATAGGTCATCAATGTAAATGTTAGTTGTTATGTAGGTCATCACTGTAAATACTCTACGCGTTGTTAAATAGGTCATCGCTGTAAATATGAGTTGTTTAATACACAAAATTGACAATAATCTATTATATATATATCAGAGACATCCCCGAGTATAGAAAATGAAAATTACAATGTAGCAACATAATACGTAAAAGAAATTGGAGACAAAAATAAGGTTGCTTTTTAATGCTAGATGTAGATTTGGTTGCATTTTGAACAAACTTAATGCAGAAACTGTTTAGCATATGCAGCATCAATATTACTTCACAAAGGAATTGAGAAATATCAGACTTATTTAATAGCTTAAGAAAATTCTTATAAAGAAAATGCTAGTGATAATCGCAATTGCCATTAATGTTTTGTAAACTTTGGAACTTAATTGGAGCTACCAATCATGGTAGATTATTAAATGTGTTTGCTGATACATAAATGTTAATGCATCTACGTGGTTAATTTAATGTTTTTAGTGACCGTGTTAACCATCTTGTGAGTATCAAGGGGCGTTATTTCTAATTTTCCAAGGAAACTATCCTGTATTTTTTTTAATTTTATTTTTTATATTTTTATACACACTGTTATATTTCTCTGACTGTGAATAGCAGAATTGTAGTACGGGTACTTAATTTGATTTAGGTTATTTTGAGACCAAACATTATCTTGCAAATATATAAAAAATCACATGTTGAAACCTTTTTTAAATATTAAGAAATTGCCAGCTTTGTCGGAAACGTCGCGAAATAAATCGGTAGCATATCGAAATAATACACAAAGAAAAGTTTAAACGAAAGTTTGTAATGTTGAATGCATTTCCTGCAAAAAAATCAACATACAATGACTTATTACTTCAAGATTATGCTTTCTTTCCCCGCTTACCCCCAGAAACAGTTCACACAGACAATAGCTAGGATCATGAAGTGTGTACGCCTGTTATTGACTTTGTATTCGATATATCAAGTACACCCACAATGGTTTGAAGGTCAGAATACACGATCTGTTTTTAATTATAACATCCTGTAACCTCTTTACTGTACATCACAGACAATCAGCTCACAAGAATACGGGACTTACCACAGACAAAGAAAAAAGAAATAGAAAAACACTTGGCCGTCAAAAGGGCTGGAGCCGAGCGATTGGTCGAGGACTGGAAAATTTTAGCGCGAGAATTAGGTAAAGTACAATTACATTTCTTCTCCCCTGCCTCAGAGACAAACATGTGTTATGGAGGGATTTGATGAAATCAATGAGGAAATAACGAAAAAGTATAACAGTTTGCCACGGGGTATTATAGCGATGGAAATATTCATGGGGAGGAAACACCGTTTATATTAATGTACCCCCCTGCCAACCAAATGTCGAACACATTTAATTCATGCTTCATATAATAAGACGTATTTGGGATGGACAAACAGTTTTAGGATAGAGGAAGGATTTTGATATCAGGTATTGGGTAAAAAAAATCATATAAAAATAATTCATAAATCGTGAAATTGGTCTCGGTAAAATTGTTCATGTTTCTGTGTTGATAAGGGAAATTCTTTTGTTTGCACTGTCGCTTTTACGTCTTTGCTAACATATCTACAGAGTGGTGTATACCCTTAAGTAAACAGGACATCAGCGTTTAGTAGATTGGTAAAAAACACCTGAGAAGGGTTTAAGATGGAAAGAAAATAATAACATGTCAAGTTCGTGCCTAAAATTAAACCCCTCCCGTCGTCGTTGAATGTCAGTCGCTGAACAACTTCACTTATCAGTGAGATCATCATTGATTAATATGAGATTTGTCTTTATATCTTTAAAGGTTATACCAGTAAGAAGATGGACAAAATAGCCAATAAAAATAAAGACACTCTGTCAATTGTGCAGTATCTACTATCTGATTGGTCCAAGAGCCGAACAGCAACCGTGGGCGTGTTTATAAAAGCCCTGATTGACATTGGCAGACCGGATGTTGTAAAACTTTTACAAAATGACGGGAAAACTGAAACGCTCGTTCATATGGTGTGACACATGGCATTCGTGACGTTGTGTTATTAATTTAAGATAGCTCGTGACATTCTATTGAAATCATGTACTTTGTATTTGAATGATTAACGTCAAAACGTAATCAAAATGTATGTACAGAGGGGTCTTTTGTTGGAAACATGAACATCTGAATGCCCATCTTCTTTATATTTATAGAAAAAAAACGTGTTGTTTGTTGCAAACAAACGATAATATATTATGTAACCTACCGCAACCAGCCGTTTAACATATTAACGCCTGGTTTGATATTCTTACCCATTGAAGACAATATAAGGACGGAACGTAAACGAAATTCATAAACAGAAGGGTCTATATTTAATCATGTGGCCAGCAAGATCAAGTCAACTGTCACTGCTACAGATATATTTATTTCTTAATTGTATGGAGGATTATATATTAAATACAACCAACAGACATTTAACAGACACCGGATTTGAAGTTCTCATTCAATTTGTACATCAAAATCAAAACAATATCTAACTTTAAACCCACGAAGTAGACAGAAAAAGACTGACAAAATCAAGTCTGAAATTTAATCATTATTACAAGATAAGCTGGCCTTTCATTTGTTGTAAGTTATACCTCTGTGTAGGTATCGTCCACTGAAGCCCAATCAAGTTTTATCAAGCCATGATTATTAAATAATAAGAAATCCTGTTATATGCATTGAATACCCTTGAGCTTATACCTATACAAGTTTCTTATTTTCTGCAACACATGAATGCTGACAGTTTCAAGTTCGCTAGTCGTTAAAATGATGCATACTACATATATGTATTGGAGTAGTTCTTAAAGAGCAATGTGTTAAACTATCGCCATTTTCGCCCCCTATAATGAAGTAGAATTTACAGCGAATATTGATAAGATGGACGTAACTTACTCATATATATGATTGCACCTTTAAAATTTGGTAATATTTATCGTATGCCAGGAAGTTATTAGATATTTGTGTATAAATAAGATATAAGGGCAAAATTAACGCTTTGTGACTACGGATTTTAACGGCAAATAGCGAACATTTAACTGGGCGAAAGTTTCCCGATATACGTTGGTTGTTAAATGTCCAAATACGTTTTGGCTATTTTAAGGCGTTTATACTAACCAGGTATTCTATTATGGTATTCAGCTTAATCTATAATTGGTTAATGCACCCGCATTACCAGGTCAGGGTATGTATAAATTCTATGGTCTATATTGTTGATAGTCCTGCGTTTATTTGTCAGTATTCATGGTATATTTTTTATAAGATGGAAAATCGCAATTACAGTTAGAGGTGATCGTAGTAAATCCCCAATGTTGTGGAATTATGTGGCGTCGTGTGTATAGTCCCAATGACATCTGCTTCAATGTCAGTAAAGTTACCACGATACTTGGTCGTGATTTAGTGTTTATAGTCCCAAATAACAGCTCTAATTAGGTAAAAGTCCCACTATGTTTGGTCAGAAGATTTCATCCATTGTCCCTATTACAGCTCTAAGTTTGTTAAAATCCCCAAAACGTTAGTCATGATATGGTGTTTATAGTCAAATAACAGCTTTAAGCTGGTAAAAGTCCGACAATCTTTCGTCAGAATATTGCATCTAAAATCGCAATTACAAAACTCCCCAAAAGTTGGTTGTGATTTAGTGTTTTATAGTCCCAATAACAGCTCTAAGTTAGTCAAAGTCCCAAAATGTTTGGTTATATTATACATGCACTTGTAGCGATTATCGTGCGCACGACAACTGTCTAAGTCCCATAATAGTTTATCATAAAATGATATATGGTGTGTGTGTGTGTTTGTGTTTGTATGTGTATGTGTGCAACAAAGGTATTCTAATTGGACAATATAAATGCCTTGTGACTTTGATATAGTCACATTCTCCAGTATATATAACGTTAACAGTTTATTCCTTTGTTAAATTGGTTAAAGATATATGTCACACAATCAATATATGATTTGTGATTAGGTTATCTCCTTTAAACAATTAATTACAATTCTTAATCATCAAAATACTACCGGCTCGTTTGTATTATTACCGTCCGTCTTTGTTCTTCTATTCTGGTGTTGACTTTTCTTCAATATGTACTCGTCATTTTTATATTTGTTGATAACAAAAGGTAAAACATTGGAAACAGTAGCACATACTCATCTTCAAAAGACTTAAAGTGTTTGAAGTAAGCACGGACTAAGTAATACCTATAGTATTTCAGTCAGTCCCGTGTTTGGTTAGTTCTTCATATTTGAAATTGTATAAGGTCATACTAACCATAACTGTGTGACCGGTATAGGAGCAATATATGTGTACGCACACGTTCACAAGATAGAAATGATGAACTGTGTGAATTCACAGTTGGTGCTTTAAAAAACGGGCACACAATGTATTTGTTAAATTTCATTTATTTCCGAAAATGTAATATACAATTGTGTGAAAGAGTAGTCTGCCTTATCATGATTTGAAAAACTAGACCTTAAATCCAAATTTGATGAACTTATCTGTTTCAAGATTCAAGAGTATAGCGTTTAGCATTGTCTCGATGAAATGTTCTGATGAGTTTTCGATATAAATCAAATCTACACCGATGAAAATGTTTGTTTGATATTGTCGTAAATTATTTCATGCATTATGTTGATTTCATTGACTTGATATTGTGCGGCTGAACGTGTGTTAATGTTTGCATGTTATTTTCACTTTGTTACCCGTCTTTAATTTTTTGGGTCATTCCGTTAATTTTTCAGACTTTCAAATTATTTGCACTGCAGAAAATAAAGGCTCATTTCTAATATAACTGCCATCAAAATAAACATATTCAAAATTTAAAAATGATTACTGAAACGCGTCTAATAAACTAAGGTAAATAGACAAAAGTCAATACAAGCGTAGATATCTGTTTTGTTGGATAAGCTTCATCCCCGATACTCCAGGAGCTACGCTCTCTGCAACCCTGGGATATGTCATACATGTAGCAAAACTAAAGGCGCCACTTTGTTGATGAGACGAGAAGACTAGTTTGATACTTTGATGTACATCAAAAGAATCCCTCGGTCGCGTAACGGTAAAATTGAGTGGTTTTGAAGTCGGTTGTCGCTTTTCTGTAATTTTAAAGGCCAAGGTACCAGCCTAGCGATTGGTCAAGGTTTTTTTCTTCAAATGAGACCAATAAAATTGCTAGCTGCGTGTCATCAAATTTGCTATGACATTGTTCAGGGGTGCAGAGAGCGAAAGAAAATATTATACCTGGATTATTTCATTTTACATTTATTAATAGTGAAATTACACACGACTGTTCTGGTTCATTGCTTACCTCAAATCCAGTAACGTAAAAACGCGTCACATTTCTTTATGATTAAATTAGGTTATTGAACATCAATTTGGACCGATGGTGTCATTAAAAGTGATTGATTAGAGTACAAGGATATCTCATTCACTTAAAATATGTGAAGTGGGGTTTCCTTTTACTGTCATCATATATTGCAATTATTTTTGTTTTCCAATGTTTCACGTAAATTTTCAAAACAAATTCTTTAGAAAAAGGGCAAGTAAAACCAAGGTGATAACGATAGATGAGTTGGAAATAAAACGAGGGCGTTATAACGAGGGACATTATACATATAACGAGGTTTTACTGAGTAAATTATGATTACATATACGAAAATATAATAAACTTACCACAGACTTCATACAACCATCTCAGTTTCATGTATGTCAGTTTCCATTTATATTTTGAAATCGATATTAACCGCTTTAGTAGTAAATTTATGAAAATTTTCAAAACCCGTTTTTGTGTAATTTCAAAAATATATTTCACACACAAGTTAGTTTGTTTTATTCATTTTTTCAACATGACCTGTTTCCCCCTATATTTCTTTACAGTATTTACCCATTCTCCCTCTTTTTCTTTTCTTTTCCCCTACTCTTAACAAAAATAGTAAATTTTACGAATTATTGTTTTGTGTATGTTGTATTAGGACAGAACTTTTGTAAACAATTTGTTTGTTTGAATTATGGGTCTTTTAAGACAATCCATCATAAATGTTTCATATAGATCACAAAATTATATGAAAAACTGAAGCTGCAGATTTGCCTCGTTTTCTAAAGATGAAGTGAGGCAGATGTTGGAACTGGTAGCGGTAACCATAAAAAACGATTGTATTTTTTTCTGTGAAAAGTCATATTTTTTTCCTGATAAGTTTACGTTATTTTACGTTACATTCTGTTTCTGAACTGCTTTGACGAGAATTCGTTTTCGAAACTACTACCTTGTTACTATGGTAACAAATTTGTTTGAACGTTTGATGTCAACAGAAGCACTGTAAACGTACACATTTTAGCGAGCTCAAATTTTAGCGCTCTACCGAATTATCCAGCTTATAGCTTGATGAATTGTTGCGCCCACAACATCTGCAATAGAAAAACAACATACAGGACCCCTTCTTGGCGCAGTCATTATTTAGCGTAAAATAAAACGCGAAAATCGCTAAAATAAGACTACTGCTAAAATATGTACGCCTACAGTATAATAAGAGCATGAGTAGAGTATATTGGCGTAAGTTATACTAGAGTACTTGTTTGAGTATAAATGTTGTACTATTGTGAAAGTGCCTGAAAGTTCTGTATAAAATTGTATGTTTGGCACCTGTTTAAAACGGTTGCTTTTAGTGTGATAGCAGTATGTTTGGAACTCTTACAAGTATGATAACAAAATGTATGAATCTTTGTCTGATTAATCTGTTCGTATGATTAAAGTGTGTTAGTGTAAATGATTATTCATTTATTATACACAATAACGGTATGCTAGTTGTATTGGTTTGGTTACGACTTTGTGAGTATGTTTGTTAACTTAAATGACTTAAGTACATATGTGACGCGCGATATTGTTATGTATGGTAACAGTAAATATGACGTCAGTGTATCTAAACACGTGATATTTGTATGCATAGTAACAGTTTATATGACGTCAGTATATATTTGAACAGTTGATATATGCAGGGTAACAGTATATATAAGACCACACTCATTTTCCTACATCTTCACTAGTTAGATCATAATCACGTGGATGTCTATGCTTTGTGCTATTGACTCGGTCTTACTATTTTTAGAAACATCGGGTTAATATTCATTTTATGACGTCGTTTCAATTGTGACGTCACAATGCTTTATGCCAAATGCAAAACTTTCTTCCATACAATTTTTATACGTTCCGTCTCTTTCAATGATGAAAACATTATTAAGCATCTAAGATAACGATTACAGACTTTTATTTCGATGAATATGTGGTTTTATGGACCTTGGAAAAATATACTAACCTCGTCTCCATCTCGGTCAATATCACTTTCCGCAATTGATAAATATGAATTTGAGTTCCTTTTTCATAACATCACCTTTTTTACTCAATATCTTTATATGAACAAGAAATAAACCTAAAATAATTATTGTGCCGAAGAGCTGGAATATAGAATTTTATTACAAAATCTGACCTTAACGAGTTTTTTCAGAATACATATGAGAAGCAAACGTTATATTGTTGCTTACATAATTATTTTTAAATTCGATATTCTTTAAGTAACCTTTACATTTGCTTTTTTATTCAAACATGTATTTGTAAATGTTACGTTTTTATCGTTAGGATGACATTTTGAAACGTATTCGTAATAATGAATGAGCTTAAATATAAATATGAAACTTTCAGAAAAAAAAGATATAACAATGAATTTTGAAAACAATTGTCCTTTTTCAGTAAGAATGCCTGTATGTGATTGTAAGCTTGACAACAGTAAGTAAGAGACGTATGGATGAATTGTTCTAAAATGGCGTACACGAGGTGCACACTGTTGACATGTGGTAAACAACATTTTTGTCTGCGATACTCTCAATCGTCTTTGAAGTCTTACCTTTGTTTCTTTCCATGTTTCACTTTCTTGTTTTAATAAAAAGATACTGATTGTTATCTTTTGTTGTATCATTGTTTTGTGTAGTTTGTAAAAACAAATATTACACCGAATAGCGCATCCTCAATATCCAGGGCTTACGCTCACTTTCGCTCTCTACACCCATGGAATATGTCATAGCAAAATGGAAGACCCGGTGTGTGCCACCTTGTTTATGAGACAAGAAGACTAGTTCGACCCTATGATGTACATCATAAGAATCTCGCGGTCACGTAACGGTAAAAAATGACAGGCTCTGAAGTCGGGCGTCACTCCTTTGTAATCTTCAAATGACAGGTATCAGCCTAGCGATTGGTGAGTGTTTTTAACCAGAGACCAATCAAACAGCTATCTTCGTGCCTGCAATTTTACTATGACATATTCCAGGGGTGTAGAGAGCGAAAGTGAGCCTAAAACCTGGATATCGAGGATGCGAGTAATGATGAGCACATCGATCTCATACGAGCAGACACAAATATCCTGTTGTGTGCCCTTTAATAAATGATAAATTGAAATTCAATTTCGTCAATCTAATATGTTTATTACTTCTTCTACAATATTTGATAGGTAATTGTAATATCCATGTGCCGAAAAAGTTATATCGAAGCGATAAAGACAATATAAGTTTTCTCAAATTCTAAGAGCGACCTACTCCATCGAGGCAAATAAATAAAAATAAAAAACAAAAAACACCTCCAACACTTTAAACAAAAAAGAAAGAATAAACACGTAAAACAAACAAAGTTTTGAAAGCAATTTCGTTATAAAATAACAAACTTACGTCACACTTCTATAACTTTGAATACAAAAACATATGCCTTATCCTCACAAATAGGACAATCATACAATGATACCCAATAATGACAATATACCTTACACATTTACCCTATTTTACCATTGGCAAAGACTCGGATGACACTTTACGGCAAATAATGCCGAAAAGTGGCCCAGTGTTGTAAACACTATCAGATTGTGTGACTACAGTAATCCCGTCGAATGATGTTAAAACATTAGCCGCAAATTTATTAAAACACGTGTCTTCAATCATTCTACGCTTTTAAGATTTGAGGCGGACTACTCTGCGGTCATGACTATAACAGTCTATATGTTAATAATGTAGGTCCATGCACACGACATACAGATAAATAACATCGCTCCAATATACACTCCGTAGGTGGGATTTTAATTAACGATATATATGCTACCTTACTGTAATTTGTAACTTCCGTCCATAAGATAATAAAACATGATCAATATTTATATAAATGGTATTCTGCCTATACAGCTTCATCATGATAAACGCACATGCATTACTTACTGTAAGCTATGGTAATACTGTATATGATAATTATTTTAAGTGGATTTAAGGGATATAACTCGTGTACAAAGTACATGTATATTATATATTTGGTAGCATACATTCTGACGGAGCTAATAACTTTTACAGATTCATAATTATATAAAGAAGAACAAGAAAATACAACATTTATATAATGCCGTATATCAATTGTGGGCCTTAAATGCCGACCGGCATGAAGAGGATAGGTGAGGTGTGGTAAGGTATATCAATACAAACAATCACCTGAAAGAGTTTTACAGAGGTAATATGTGAACATCATTAAAATATCGGACAAAAAATCTATGCGCAAACATGATGAATCTAATTGGGACTATCTGTAAATGTTTGCTCACTTTTATATACATTCTTTGTTCAGTAAACGATACAACCCCTGTATCAGCACAGGGTATTCCATAAAGGATGGCTTGTTATACTGAATACATTTTTTTTGTAAAAGATATTTGCACAGATGTACTTTAACTTTTTTCATATAACAATGGTTTGGCTTTTTAGCCGATAAAATATCATTGATAAAAGTCTTTGCTCATTTGTTTACCAACTAAACATATCAACGGCTGTAAAGGCGTTTGTTTACGAAATCAAAATATACACTTGTTTATAGACGTTTGTTTACCTAATACATATATAGACGTGTTTTAAACGTTTGTTTACCTACTACATTTATATACGTGTTTTAAACGTTTGTTTACCTGCTACATATATACACGTGTTTTAAATGGTTGTTTACCTAATACATATAAACACGTGTTTTAAACGTTTGTTTATCTACTACATATATACACGTGTTTTAAATGTTTGTTTTTCTAATACATATATTCACGTGTTTTAAATGTTTGTTTACTTAATACATACATACACGTGTGTTAAATGTTTGTTTACCTAATACATATAAACACGTGTTATAAATGTTTGTTTACCTACTACATATAAACACGTGTTTTAAATGTTTGTTTACTTAATACATACATACACGTGTGTTAAATGTTTGTTTACCTACTACATATAAACACGTGTTTTAAATGTTTCTTTACCTAACACATACATACACGTGTTTTAAATGTTTGTTTTTCTAATACATATATTCACGTGTTTTAAATGTTTGTTTACTTAATACATACATACACGTGTGTTAAATGTTTGTTTACCTACTACATATATAAACGTGTTTTAAATGTTTGTTTATCTAATAAATATATACACGTGTTTTAAATGTTTGTTTATCTAATCCATATATACACGTGTTTTAAATGTTTGTTTATCTAATAAATATATACACGTGTTTTAAATGTTTGTTTTTCTAATACATATATTCACGTGTTTTAAATGTTTGTTTACCGAATACATATATACACGTGTTTTAAAGGTTTGTTTATCTAATACATATATTCACGTGTTTTAAATGTTTGTTTATCTAATGCATATATACACGTGTTTTAAATGGTTGTTTACCTAATACATATAAACACGTGTTATAAATGTTTGTTTACCTACTACATATAAACACGTGTTTTAAACGTTTGTTTATCTACTACATATATACACGTGTTTAAAATGTTTGTTTATCTAATACATATATTCACGTGTTTTAAATGTTTGTTTACTTAATACATACATACACGTGTGTTAAATGTTTGTTTACCTAATACATATAAACACGTGTTTTAAATGTTTCTTTACCTAACACATACATACACGTGTTTTAAATGTTTTATTACTTAATACATACATACTCGTGTTTTAAATGTTTGTTTACCTACTACATATAAACACGTGTTTTAAACGTTTGTTTATCTACTACATATATACACGTGTTTAAAATGTTTGTTTATCTAATACATATATAGACGTGTTTTAAACGTTTGTTTACTTACTACATATATACACGTGTTTTAAATGTTTGTTTTTCTAATACATATATTCACGTGTTTTAAATGTTTGTTTATCTAATGCATATATACACGTGTTTTAAATGTTTGTTTTTCTAATACATATATTCACGTGTTTTAAATGTTTGTTTACTTAATACATACATACACGTGTGTTAAATGTTTGTTTACCTACTACATATATTCACGTGTTTTAAATGTTTGTTTATCTAATGCATATATACACGTGTTTTAAATGGTTGTTTACCTAATACATATAAACACGTGTTTTAACCGTTGTTTTACCTACTACATATATACACGTGGTTTAAAAATTTGTTTATCTAATACATATATACGCGTGTTTTAAATGTTTGTTTACCGAATACATATATACACGTGTTTTAAATGTTTGTTTACTTAATACATACATACACGTGTGTTAAATGTTTGTTTACCTAATACATTCATACTCGTGTTTTAAATGTTTGTTTACCTACTACATATATAAACGTGTTTTAAATGTTTGTTTATCTAATGCATATATACACGTGTTTTAAATGTTTGTTTATCTAATGCATATATACACGTGTTTTAAATGTTTGTTTATCTAATGCATATATACACGTGTTTTAAATGTTTGTTTACTTAATACATACATACACGTGTGTTAAATGTTTGTTTACCTAATACATGTATAGACGTGTTTTAAACGTTTGTTTACCTGCTACATATATACACGTGTTTTAAAGGTTTGTTTATCTAATACATATATTCACGTGTTTTAAATGTTTGTTTATCTAATCCATATATACACGTGTTTTAAATGTTTGTTTACCTACTACATATAAACACGTGTTTTAAATGTTTCTTTACCTAATACATATATACACGTGTTTTCAACGTTTGTTTACCTACTACATATAGACACTTGTTTTAAATGTTTGTTTACCTACTACATATATACACGTGTTTTAAACGTTTGTAGACTTCTGCTGTTATATTAACACGTAATCGTTTTTTTGGCTGGTCTCTATATATATTTCTATATAAAACTGTAAGTCGCTATAGCTTTCTGTATTTTTGTAGTGTTTTACGTATTACTATTTTTTGTACACATATTATTTAAGTGGTTTTTAAATTCGCGGTTTACGCAAGTTCACAGGAAAAAAAATATACTCCAAATATAATTAATGTGCAGAATGTGTTCTCAAATGTCAAATGAATGATGCCGTAAAAAACAAAAACAAAAATAAAAATCATAAAAAATACACACATTCAGTATAACTTACAGTGTAACAGTTCTTTACTGAGGAAAGAGCTCATTTTCATCAGACCATCGACATATTAGCTACACGGAGTTATGTATTGTATACAAGATAGGCTGGTAACATATGAAGTCACTTGTTGAACACGGCTACCATCAGTAGAGGCAGTCTTTGATGACATTACCATAACACAAGTACACAGATGGTAACAATTTACTCCCGGTAAACCTAGTCATCTCACCACACGCCCCATCCGCTGCCTCAGTAGACCGGCACACCAACTACCATTTCGTTACACATAACAAAAATGTTGCATTAAAATTTAATTATAAGGTGATGGCGGCGAATCTAACAATCTCATTTGGATACTGTCCGTACAATCCGTCATCCAGTCATAACTTTGGGAACATATTTACATATTGCTCTATAGAATTGTCCTAATAATCAGGCCAACTAACTGGGATTTTTAATCACTAGGTAGGGTAACTAGAAACACAAGTTGGATTAAACGGGTCCAGACTGTAGATAGTGAGTGTTAATGTTTATAACAGTTCACGACTGTACGACGGTTATAGAGCGTGATGTATTAATTATGCAGTGACGTTTAGTACGTAAGTGTATCAGATTGTTAAAACACAGACATGCTGTCATAAGGAACACTTTCATAATATACATTGTAATATTGAATATGTATCACTACAGCATTTAAGTAACAGTAAGACAGTAACAAGGCTTTTAACATTATTCAGTTTCAGTGGCGGATCCGGAGACCTATTTGGAGGGTTCCAAATTTCCGGGGGGGGGGGGGTTCCAAGGGGGGGAAAATTGAGGAAAATGGTGAAAATACATGATTTTTAAAGAAAATCTCATGGTGGGGGAGTTTCCTGAAGCCCAAAACCCCTCCTGGGTCCGACACTGAGTTTCAATGGAGAAATCAATATAGTCATAAGGCTGTAACAACACAATAAAAAATGTTACACAGGTATAGATAAAGGGAGATAACCCGGAAACTACTATAACTACAAACGTTTGAAGAGCTCAAACACTAACACTTATATTACTTAACGATATGTACATGGAATGAATTAAAAGAATTTACTGGGCATGTTCAATGCATTTTTATTTTCTTTTAAGAAGAAGCCAAAGTTAACCTTAAAATATATGCCAAATTAACATTTAGTAAAAAAGTGTGTACTTATAACATACAACTAGTGTAGCTTTGCTGAATGAAACTTTATATTTACTCGCGAGAACGTTAACATTAGTGTCTCATTCAATGCCTTATGCTATACATGTATATAAACAAATGGTCGAATTTGTAGTCAATGCTTGCCCATGGAAAATCATACAAAATATTAATAGATTATAAGAAATTCAGTGAATGATTACATTTCAATTTACGCTAAATTTTTGCTTAAAAAAGTATTGCTTTAAATATGAGGCAAATGTTCAATGAATTAATAATAGGTTTGGCATAGGTTAGTTTTATATGGTTTGACGTCCTATCAACAGTCAATTTGAGATCGTGCCTCCACGTGCGTAATGTATGCGTGTATATGTGAACGTGTGCTGGTGGTAGGGTATATGATGCTGGTTGACTAACCTCCTTGCGACAGGGCGGATCTGATGCTGACTTTATATTGCCATCTCATTGAAATAACATGATGAGGACACCCAGCATAGCATTGTACCCGGTCATATCATACTAACAACGGGCGAACTACACAGGCGACTGAACTGATATCGTTCGTTATATTTATGACATCTCAATTATTCGCTATTGCACAGCCAAGGAGAAGATTTTGTGACCATTAAACACAGTAAAATTCTTCATAGACATGACAACGGCAATGTGTTGCTTTTTATACTGTGTATTGTATACCATTGGTAAAGACTCGCAGATCTGTGATGCTTCGGATGATGCAAGAGAAATAACGTCCTTCTGTTCTGCTAGCAAACCACAGTCATTTTCAGCCATAAACGTTACAATGAGTTGCCTGAGCATGCGATAAAGACATTTGGTGCCGAGGTATACGGATACATATATGTATACAAAAACTGGCAGTTGATGCATATTGAACAAGATATTATATTTACAAGTTTGACAAGGTCAGATAATGTACATATGACTTGTTAAAGGAGTTATGGCTGATCCCTAATGAAAATTAATATAACAATAAGCTAAAACAAATTAGGCAATACAGTCCTAAATAACATCTATTCTGTCTGAACACCAACTGGTCCTAATTTCTATATTAGTTATTATATGAGTATAACAAATTAACAAAGTAGAAGAACAGTTCATAAACACCGGATTTCGTTTTTACCCATTTACCCCTGTCGTCATGCCTTCCGTGGTTTGACCTTTAATCGGATAGGAGTTTTTGGGACCGTCAGTCCCATATCCTTCAGCGTTATCGGAATCTAAACAATAAAATACATAGTTTTAATAGCACTAACGAGCAAGTATCCTGTTGAAGCAAAACAAATTTCTATATTGTAATACAATGTATGCCCCTAATTAAGGCAATGTATAGCGCACTATGTGATGCAGAAAGAAAATAAAAAAAAAATCATTTAAAAAATTAAAACCCCTCTACAGGTCAATTGTCCACGTGCTCTGAGTTGTGTCTTAAATGGCTAAAAGTTCCTCTCGGTTTGATTATTAGTGGCTTGTTAATTTATCATAATGAAAAAATATATTTAAATCCATTTTTTTTTTTAAATTCCCTGCCACGAGGATCCCCCTCCCCCGGCTCCAGGGCCCGGCCCCCGCCCACCCTATTATTTCAGGTAAATAGTATTTCTATTTTCCGATTCACACTATGAATGAAATTAAGATGTTCCAGGTGTCAGTTTGGCTTACATACCAGTGAAACATTTCTTTTATCATTTAGATATTTTGGGATTGTATTTCTCTCTGAAATCGCTACTTCTGTTTAAGGTACAAACCTCAGTGTCAATAGCCTGCACAAACCGGACGTGACGTAGGACATGCGTCACGGCTATCTTTGCTTCCATCAAGGCAAGCCGCATTCCAATACACATTCGCGGACCATGGCCAAATGGCAGGAAATTGATGTTGTTCTGGTTCGGTTTGAAGTCAATAAACCTTACAAAAGATATAACTTGATCATAAATCTGATATCACTTGTACATGGATGAACTGTATAGGGGCAAATGTGTGGCAAGGGACTTATTATATAATATATGATATATAATTTAGAAAGACCAGCTTATGTTAATGTTGCTCTTATGATATACGTATTATGGTGATTTCCTTCTTACTATACCATTGATTGCGAAATGGGCAAAAGTTAAGCATAAAGTACAGCATTGTGTCGATGAAAGTTATTATGAGAAACAATGAAATGGCTGTAAGTAAGACACGATGATTACAGTATCATTGTGGTGAAGTTTGGGGAGAGTTATCTAACCGCGCCGACAACATCGATGCGACATCTCGGCGCGGTCTCTTTACATCCTGACTACGTGAGTGATTTTCCTGCGCTTATTCTAGTAGATTTTGGGACTTGAGAGTAGTTCAAAACTACATGTTGTGACGGTGTGTGACCACACATACCAAAATCACGACATTATTACCTCCGGTTCAACTGACTTTACATAATGTGCTATATAACTACTTGTTTGTTTCACACCTACCTTTCCGGTTTGAACAATGTGGGTTCCGGGTAGGTTTCCGGATCTTGATGCAAAGCCCTAATTGGGATAGTAACCGCTGATCCTTTAGGAATAGTCACTCCATTTATTTCAATGGTTTTGGCAGCCTCACGATTTATCCTGAACATAAAATAGATAAATAAAATATTCAAATGTGTTCATTGTATGTCTTGTTATATTTAAATTTTACCTGCAGATTTCATATTTGATATTTGATATTTGATAACTTGTGTTTTATTTTATCTGTAAAAGCATGGTTGACATAGGCGACATTTTCACATGGAATTCTGCATTGTAACCAACCGAAGGTAACGATATTACACTTTATTTGTAGTTCATTTATATACATGTACATAGATCATCATGCGGGGCTTAATTTCTATTTTCCTTGCTATGAAAAGTCATGCCAGCCTCAAACCGAGATAGTTGTGTTATGCAAACCACAAAAATCTTAAAGAAATGCCCTTGTTATAAACTGTATCCCACCGCCACATACATGTATATGTAAATACGTGGGAAATCAGATTTAGATAAACAGGTTCCATAGTCCGTGTCTTTTCGCAACATTGAGTGTTAATGTAAATGACTCTGTCATGTAATAAATATTTTTGATATTTTTCTTTAACAATATCTATATCATATCCTGCTCATTTATAGGAAAACGTGATGTGGTGACATTGCATATTATTGAAAGTTCATTTAGCGATCAAAGTAACACAGTCTTTGTTTAATTCATTTCCAACCAGCGAAAACGTACGACAGAAACCAGTGGTTTCACATGACCACATCAACTTTGATTGAGGAAATTAGGCCTCTCGACAACTAGTAAAAAAACAAACCCTACCTATCAAAACAACTTCAAGGTAAACTGATAACTGCAGATAACATTCATTCCGTAGGAACGTGCATATTTTTAAAGAAAGTGGAGTATAGGTTTAATATACTGTGAAATCAGAAATTTTCGTCGGGCTACAATTTCGCGTTTTTTTTTTATCCCCGCTAGACCATTTCGTTGGAACGTGAAGTCGAGGATTTTAAGAATCTATGAAAGCCGGCAATATACTACTAATACAGAAAATACCTAAATGCCAAACCTGTAGTTAGTTCGTGGTCATGGTGATTCATGGATAAAAAGTATCAACGAGAATCGGCTAAATGAAATAAAATCCACGAAAATTAGCGATTTCACAGTATTACAATTACGCATCTAAATTAAAAAAATTTAATTTGGGTTTTTAAATATAACTTATCATGAAGTTAGTATTTAGGGTGACTATAACATTATTAACAGGACCTGTTCATCAGTGATGTCTTTTTAAAAGGAAATTGACGTCAATAATGACATTGGTCTCATTACCTGGAGAGAGTCGGATATAGTCTCAAGGTTTCATTCAAAACCAGTTCCATGTATTTCAGTTTACCGATATTGTCATATGTCGGTTCCTCCTGTAGAATAGAGGATGACAAATCATTTAATGAAGGAAATACGTTTTGACAAGTAAACAACGAAAGCCTATTAGTAACATTTCGGTAGAAGTTTTTACATATGAAATATCTATATATGAAGGTATATATCTGACAAAGAAGTAATTCCAACAGTGTGGACAAGTTTAGGTTTTCAAATTTTCGGAGCGCTCCGCTCCTTTTTCAACACACAGTGAAACAGACCAGTTACATGTACATATACATCATATTACAATAAGATAGAACTGATATACTATAATTGAAAATATAGCTATTATATAAAGCCAATAGTCCCCTCGGCTAAAGACAGCCGAAGGCAGCAATTAAGCTGAGAGCATCGCGGACGAGGAACGCTGATGTAGTCTACATCAGCGTTCCTTGTGATAGTGCATCTTGCGAAAGAATATGTCCTCTAGTAGAGGACATATTCTTGCGCAAGATGCACTATCACATAAAGTGAGTTAACGAGAGATATATAGACAAATGCCCTTCTTATATTGGACATATACAATTTGTACCTTTATTATCGATCCTTTTGTTATATCATAAACATATAAACATATATATAAACATTTGCTTCAGGATGGTTAGTATGAATAGTAGAAAGGTTACGTATCACAACCAGTATGTGTTTATATGTGACCTTTCAATGACTAGTACCCAGTCAATTTCATCTGAAAAACGACCAGTGAAGCGTATGTATACAAGGTTTTAAGGGTGTAAAAACTTTACGAGTTAACAATATAAAAAACGACTTCGATTCGGATACGCTATACATGTATGTACACTTAGCTGTAATGCATCTACGAAATGACGAAAACAATTAAGTTCGGAATTGTCTTTAACACCTGGTCATAGATGTGCGACAGTTTCTGAGCCCCCTTTTATCGGTTTAAAACTCACCCAAGCCCACTGCAGCGTCTCAAGATTTCAAATCAATATCGTTATGATATTGCCTTCTCGTACATAGTTTACACCATTTCGTACATATGCTTCACTGGTCATTTATCTGATGAGGGTAACAGGGTGTATGTACGTACAGTATACTAGTCACCGAATCGTCGCACACAAATAATTATTGGCTAACCTTTCTACAACTCTTATTGATATCAATAGAAAGTACTGTGGTATATAGTAAATAACTTATCTTAACGAAGTATACCCAAGAAAACCATACTTATATTGGTTTGTGTGACAGCGTCGTCCAACGTTAACCGTTTGATTTATAAAGTTTGCCATTCACATGGAAATTGTATAAAAACAAGATGGAAAGTATTTCTTACGTCTCCTAGCTGCTCGACAATTTCCTCATAAATTCTGTCCTGTACATCTGGGTTGCACACCATCTCGTAGGCGGTGAAACTCAGCAAGCTTGCTGTCGTCTCATACCCAGCCAGGAAAAACAGAAACGCCTGACCGATGATCTCGTCTGTAGAGAGCACTGTAAAAAGGGCATCAAATATTTACAAAATAAAAAACGTCTAACCAATAATCTACTCAGTGGTGAGCACTACAATAACGTTAAAATCTACTCTGTGGTGAGCACTACAATAAAGTTAACGTCTGACCAATAATCTACTCTGTGGTTAGCACTACAATAACGTTAACGCCTGTCCAATAATCTTCTCTGTGGTGAGGACTACAATAACTTTAACGCCTGACCAATAATCTACAGCTGAGAGCATCGCGGACAAGGAACGCTGATGTAGTCTACATCAGCGTTCCTTGTGATAGTGCATCTTGCGCAAGAATATGTCCTCAGAGTAGATTATTGGTCAGGCGTTAACGTTCTTGCAGTCCTCACCACAGAGTAGATTATTGGACAGGCGTTAACGTTATTGTAGTGCTAACCACAGAGAAGATTATTGGTCATGCGTTTATGTTGTTGTAGTGCTCACCACAGAGTAGATTTTAACGTTATTGTAGTGCTCACCCCAGAGTAGATTATTGGTCAGGCGGTAACGTTATTGTAGTGCTCACCACAATAACGTTAACGCCTGACCAATAATCCTCTCTGTGGTGAGGACTACAATAACGTTACCGCCTGACCAATAATCTACTCTGTTGTGAGCACTACAATAACGTTAACGTCTGACCAATAATCAACTCTGTGGTGAGGACTACAATAACGGTAACGCCTGACTAATAATCTACTCTGTGGTGAGCACTAAAACATCACAAACGCATGACCAATAATCTACTCTGTGGTGCGCACTAAAACAACATAAACGCATGACCAATAATCTACTCTGTGGGGAGCACTACAATAACGTTAACGCGTGACCAATAATCTACTCTGTGGTGATGACTACAATAACGTTAACGCCTGACCAATTATCTTCTCTGTGGTGAGGACTACAATAACTTTAACGCCTGACCAATAATCTACAGCTGAGAGCATCGCGGACAAGGAACGCTGATGTAGTCTACATCAGCGTTCCTTGTGATAGTGCATCTTGCGCAAGAATATGTCCTCAGAGTAGATTATTGGTCAGGCGGTAACGTTATTGTAGTCCTCACCACAGAGAAGATTATTGGTCATGCGTTTATGTTGATTTAGTGCTCACCACAGAGTAGATTATTAGTCAGGCGTTACCGTTATTGTAGTCCTCACCACAGAGAAGATTATTGGACAGGCGTTAACGTTATTGTAGTCCTCACCACAGAGTAGATAATTGGTCAGGCGTTAACGTTATTGTATTGCTCACCTAAGAGTAGATTATTGGTCAGACGTTAACGTTATTATAGTCCTCACCACAGAGTAGATTATTGGACAGGCGTTAACGTTATTGTAGTGCTCACCACAATAACGTTAACGCCTGACCAATAATCTACTCTGTGGTGAGCACTAAAACAACATAAACGCATGACCAATAATCTACTCTGTGGTGAGCACTACAATAACGTTAAAATCTACTCTGTGGTGAGCACTACAATAACGTTAAAATCTACTCTGTGGTGAGCACTACAATAACGTTAAAATCTACTCTGTGGTGAGCACTACAATAACGTTTACGCCTGACCAATACTCTACTATGTGGTGAGCACTACAATAACGTTAACGCCTTACCGATAATCTCCTCTGTGGTGAGGACTACAATAACGTTAACGCCTGACCAATAATCTACTCTGTGGGGAGCACTACAATAACGTTAACGCCTGACGAATAATCTACTCTGTGGGGAGCACTACAATAACGTTTACGCCTGACCAATAATCTACTATGTGGTGAGCACTACAATAACGTTAACGCCTTACCAATAATCTCCTCTGTGGTGAGGACTACAATAACGTTAACGTCTAACCAATAATCTACTCAGTGGTGAGCACTACAATAACGTTAACGTCTGACCAATAATCTACTCTGTGGGGAGCACTATAATAAAATTAACGCCTGACCAATAATCCACTCTGTGGTGAGCACTTCAATAACGTTAACGCCTGACCAATAATCCACTCTGTGGTGAGGACTACAATAACGTTAACGTCTAACCAATAATCTACTAACGTTAACGCCTGACCAATAATCTTCTCTGTGGTGAGCACTACAATAACGTTTACGCCTGACCAATAATCTACTCTGTGTCGAGCACTACAATAACGTTAACGTCTGACCAATAATCTCCTCTGTGGCGAGCACTACAATAACGTTAACGCCTGACCAATAATCTACTCTGTGGTGAACACTAAAATAACGTAAACGCCTAAACAATAATGTCATCAGTGGTGAGCACAGACATAACATTACGCCTGACCTATGATCACGTTTGTAGTGAACACAGAAATAACATTACGCCTGACCTATGATCACGTTTGTAGTGAGCACAGAAATAACATTACGCCTGACCAATGATCTCGTTTGTAGTGAGCACAGAAATAACGACGTTAAAATCAAAACGCTAATGCGACAATGAAATTCGACAACAAACGAATTTGGAAGCGAAATTGGTTAACCGTTTACCGCTATAGATGTGATTATTTCCTGTCCAATACAGGAAGTCCTATCGGAGACAAGCGATATAAGACACAGCGAAGGCGACTTTAATCATAGAAATAACTGATATTCCTGATTTTGAAATAACGTCACGATAACAAATAAACCGAAGCCGTTTATAACGATCTCTCTATCGAATTACGAGTACATGCTGCTTTTGTCAAGCAGTGGGAAGGTATTGAGAAAACCCCGATGAGGACAAGAGCTGGTGGAAAGGCATATATACTGCAGAGCAGGAAATAAACAAAGAACGATCCTGGAAATAACGGCGCAAAAAATACTTAATGTTAAACGTACCTTGAAATATTGTAAATAAACTCGACACATTACAAACTTATGTATCAATAGACATGGATACCAACCGAATTCAAAGTATGAAAACTATGAAGACGCAAAAAGGGAATGGCTACAAGCATGTCGACAAGCATGCGGTATGCGCGCAGTGTTGTGGAAAATAATTGCACTAAAATTTGGCTCGCGCCAAAACTGGACATCCGACGTTAAATAATGGGTACTATTACGAAACAAAATACACTCTTTTGTCGAATTCTTACTTTTCCTTTCAGCTTTTTCATTTGCATTCGCATCGGGAATCTCAAGTGATGCTTTGATCATCAATTGTAAAAAATCTGTTCGATTCTGAAAATAAAATAATACATTAATAAACTAATGACTGAATACTTACCGGGCCCTGTAGTCATAAAACCTTTTCTTATGTTAAAACTCAAAAATAGTTCACAGATGAACGTATTTCCATTTTAGATGCAAATACATACATCATTGGATATGTGTGTAACCGATTGGCGTTCATACAGGCATGAATATTGAAAAAATGCCGTTCAACCCTTATGTACTTGCACTTAAAATAGAAATAATTACTGTTCGCCTTCCGTGCAACGTTTTTTAAAACTTTTATTGCAAAGTGAGACCGTTCATCGAATCTTATTTATCGTACCTTCGGAATGCCTCTTTATTGGATACAATAAGTACAGGTATAATATTACATGTATATGTATGTCCATTATTTAACCTGATAGGTTTCCTTGAATAAGTACGGCCCTCGGCCGATGATATGACTCGGAACGAAACGCTACATATAATATAAAACAGAATAACAACAGCGTCTAAGGCAATTTGACGATACCAAAACAAACGGAAACAATGTAAGGAATTTCTGAAAGGTCAGCGTTTACTACCGGTGGCACCGGCAATTACAATGTAAAATCGGAGATAGGATAGCAGTAACGACGTTCGGAACTGATGTGTGTACATGTACTTACCGTAGGATTTCTCTTCCGTTCCTCTATCATCATTCGTACTTCTCTGTTAAAGAATTCCATGGAGTCACGTGGGTAGAAACAAATCTTCAAATACTTTAGAAGAGTCATCATCCAATCCCCAAATATAGCTAAAATGAGAGTAAATCATATTAAAATGATAGTAAAATATTGTAAAAAAATAGATAAATATTACTAGATTTATAACTTTTTGTGCTGAACACGAAGCATTATAATTCAAATCAAATGATGTGATTTGTTTGTAAACACTGACATCTAAAGCGTATTCAAAACATAAATTATCATGTTCAACAAGAATGATAGTATTTATCCAATCACGTTCAGCTGTTGATGCAGTGGTGGAGGTGATAGTTGATTTGTCATAGTGTTTACACTTTAACTAATGGTCTATAGAATAGGTCTAGGTTACATATGGCAAACAGATAACATTGATAATAGCTGTTTGATTATAATTAAAGAAAGACTTTTAGATATTTATAGACAAGATTGTATAGAACAAATTAGAACATCATCAAAAGGATTTTTTTTATACATGTCTTAACAAAGAAGTTGGTATACAGGGTTATTTAAGAAAATCGTTTATGAAAGGTTACTTAAAAGAAATAACAAAAATTCGGCTTTCAGCCCATAATTTAAATGTAGAGAAAGGTCGTTATCAAAATATTCCGCGACTTTTAAGAATCTGTACCGCTTGTGATATAGATGATGTCGAAGATGAATTTCATTTTATTCTTAAATGCCCCTGTTATTCTGATTTACGTGAGAAATTTTTAAAAAAGTACTATTGTAAAAAACCGAGCATGTTTAAATTAATTCAGTTATTTAACGGACAAAACACAAATGAATTAGCAAAATTGGCCAAATACATTAAAGCTGCAAATTCAAGAAGAGCTTTATTAACATAAGTAGTTATGCTCTCCGAGTGTTTTGTCTCGTCTGTGTATTTATTAGTATTTTCGATATTTGTCAATGTTATGAGAAAGTATATATATATACATATATATCATGTATATGTGTTACACTGATGAGTCGCAAGACTCAAAGTTAATAAAGAACTTGAACTTGAACTTGTAAGAAGCAAATCAATTTTAGTCCAGGACTTGTATAAATAGAACTGTTTATTCAAAAGACACGTCGACTGGGTTGATAAGATTTTGTAAGCTTTATGTTGATAAAGAGCCATATTGATTTAAAATATGTAATGAATATACTGTGGGTATATAATTAAATAAAAAAGGAAGGTTTTCGTGGGATTTTCTTATGAATTAACATCCTCTGAATATAGCATAAAAAAACAGGAACATTTTTGTTCATAATTTATCAAAGTTACTTATCTAGATTTGTATATGTATATTCTATACATTCTATTAGAAATTTGTTCAAAAGATATGGAAATATATGTACCAGATTAAATGAAAAAAACTTCATTCAAAGAAATGTCGTGAGGTATCTTAGAGATTTCTCCAAGAAAAAAGAGGTATATCTTAAAAAAACAGATTTTGATATTTTAAATAATGATGTTTTAAAAAGAGTGAAATTCATCTTTAAATGATAAAACATATGACTTGACAATACAGGTATCTTTTAATTCGGTAGTGATATCTTTAATCGAAATAAACATCTTTCATTTGTAATTAAAATAAAGATACCTTCAACTGACTTAAAAATACATGAATCTTTTGATAACATTTTTATATCTTTAAATGTGAAAGAGCCATCTTTAAATAAATTAGAGATATCTTCAAATCCATTAATACAGCCTTATGCGTTCTACTGTATATGCGTATAAAAAATATATAACTTTTTTGTGTGTTTTGTTTATTGTTTATAAGGTATCTAGTTATTAATAAAAATAACTGAATTATAATAAGAGATATATCTTTAAGTGTTTTCGATATTTCTTTAAGGTATTAAATATTAAATTGGCTTGCTATATATTCAAATCTTAAATAGTGATAATAATAATATGCAACATTTATATCGCGTCCTATATAATTTGTAAAATTACTCTAAAGCGCTTTACAACATATGGATATTAGTTATAATCGTGAAACAAAAATGGCTGTAAAAAGGGACTGTACGTAACTTATTTTCTATGTTTCACAGCAAATATCTCACCACACAGAAACACGGGGATGGGAACCGACGCGTTGTTGAATATCTTTTTCATGTGATGGATGAGTTGATTATCTGAATTTCGCTGTGAATCTACGTCCAAACCAAAGGCAGTCATGGAGATCACATCGATTGTAAAGGCGCCATAATAGCTGCAAAATACACCGTAAAACGAATTTATATCGACAGCTTGTTTGTATCCGAAACTATTTTTGGAAACAATTTCAAAGTGAAAAAGAAAAAAAAATGCTGTCTTTTACTCTGACTCTGTTGATAACGTCTTATGGACGTTATATACAAAATGTTGTTTCCATCGACATTTTTAACATACAAAGTTGGAACAAACAAGACAAAAATCAAAACGACTGAAATGATAACGAGTTTTACTCCAAGATGTTCTAAAATGTTGCTGATATTTACATTTAAAAGAAATAATCATCAACAGCTATCAGATATATACCTTACAGTTTAACTTATATTACCTGGTTGGCCATGCATCGCTTTATCATATTTGTTTTTTGCAATACATTATAACAAATCAATGATTTAATTATGTATCTTCACCCCAGTACCTTATCCGACTCTTTTAATTTTTATTTATAATTACAATGTTAAGAATACTGTTTTTTAATTAACTTTTTTATGTTGACTAAATACTTTAAAAAGGAAAATATACGTAAGAGTCAATACAATATTTAGAGTTAAACATTGTGTTACTTTCATACCAATATACGTGTGTAACACGAGGTCACATACACTATACAGAGTGCATAAGATATAGAAATCAGAGGAAAGGGTAACATATATAGTAATAACTATTAACATGATAATTTCGGCAAATGTTTTCAATCACGGGGACGGTACGGAATTCGGAGTTAGTTTAAACAGTATTTTTGTTCAATAAATGGCAGTGACAAAATAAGTTGATTTTGTACATAAGTACTTATATTAGTTCGTCTTCTTATTAATAAACCTGGCAGTAGAACGGCACTGTTACAAATATTTTGATAGTATAACAGACAATGAGAGGAAGAAGAAATCAGGGAGGAGAGGGCGAAAGGGGTGCATCAGGACATGAAAGAAAGTGGTTACGAAGAGTATAACGAGTAGAAATGCATTACTTAATTGAATCTGGTTGGAATGTGATTCACGAAGAAAAGGTAACCCTAATGAGCTCTGTATAAGGATGCATTAAATACACTGGAAATCTCTAAATTGCCTTACGTTGATTCCAATCAAACAGTATATTGATATCCTGTAAAATACAAGAGTGTTTCAGTCTATATTAATTTCAGTACCATCAAGACTCATTAAGTCTAAATATCAAACTGACATGTCACAAGTGCTGTCGAACAATATAGGTTTCAAAGTTAATGTACCCTGTTTAAACAAACGCAATACTTACATAAATATAAAATAAAATAAATAAATCTTGCACTAAAATCGTTTCGACTTACAGATAAATTGTTGAACAGAGTAAAAAACATTTAAATTATATTGATCTGGCATATCAGGATTTCCATACAGCAGAATATTTAAATTATTCCCCATTCGGAGTTGATACACGAAGCACAAAAATAACAAGACAACAGAATAAAAGGACAACAAAAACAATAATAAATAAAAAATAAAAAAAATAATAAAAAATTAGACATACTGAACAATAAAGAAAGCGAGACAATTGCTATCACAATGGAACAGCTGCTATTACTTACTCTTTTATTTCTATGCTTTCGTCAATCTCCGTACACCTCAGTAAGTTCTCCGCCAGGTTCCTCGCACACTTATTTATATCGTCACTCATCTGAAGCAAGAAAGATAACTCTTGCATCCTTTCGAGCATAGCTTTAAAAATACACATACATACATGTAGTTTATAATAAAATAGAACAGGACCTAAGGAGTATCATTGCGAAGGAAAAACATCAGGGACCTTCTCACAGAAATTATGATTTTTTTGTTTAATTGTTTGTTGGTGTTTTACGTCCTATTAACAGCTACATGTATGGTCATTTAAGGACGTAAAAACATCCCAGGTTTTCGTGGTGAAGGAAAGCCGGAGTTCCCGGAGAAAAAACACCGACCTACGGCCAGCACCTGACGACTGCACGAAGAACCCAGAACCTATTGTGTATAGTGTAAAAGGGTATATGAACAATCAAGTCTATAAACCACCTTACGATATATTTGCAGTAGTCGAAACCATACCAGCCGTCCGATAATATATATTAATTAACAATTACTATAGCGATATTTTTCATGAAGTATATGTATTAAGTTTGCTATATACTATGATATGAATTCGAGATGACCACATAACATAAACACACGTTTTCTGCTTTAATTAAACCCCTCGCTTCCCGAAAAGTACTGATCCAGCTTATTTAATAAGAGAAGGGATATTGACGATGATTTTATATGGAAATTGAAGTATTTACGACCCTGGGTGGTGATATATAAGCTTACATCCCTCTTATGCTTCAACAAGCCCCCTAAAAGATACTATTTACACCCTTAATTCCGACCCCTGATAAGTCATATATACAGATCCCAATTAAATATCGGAATTCCTAAATACAATTTAGCCATCAAAATGATCCATAGCGATATTTGTAGTCAATAAAAGGCATTGAGGCTGATATCTTCATACAGTTAGTTTACTAGACTGATACATGTAACGTGTCAATTCTTTTTGTGACCCAACGAAAAGACATTATCTACAGTTCATTTATTTGCCTAGGTCATGCGTAGATACATTCTGCTTTACTAGATGTGGAGGTACGTGTCGGTTTCAAAACAAGACGATATGGAAATGCACAGAAATGATAATAAAATGCCCGAGCAACATAATTTACGGCTGCATTGTGTTTATATATAAACATAACCAGGGGCTTTGTGACAATTATGAATACACAGACTTTATGTAAAGAGTCCTTTCATAGCTATTTAATGCTGTTATTAAAAAAAAAGTCTGGACATGTTATAAATAGTTTTGCTATTTTTTAGTTTCAATGCTGATAACATGTCTAGCAGATTCATAACATCACAGAATTTTAGGAAATGGTACACCCTCTAGAGTTCATTCACCGGTGTGGGAAAGTTAGCTTTTGTTTTCTTTGTTAAAATTTGCTAATATACATGTAATATATATCACCAGGGAATTTAACTGTGATTTTAGTATTTTCGAATGGCAACATCTATGTTTGGTCAAGTTTAAGCTGGTATGCCTCTCACAACTAGTAAAAGGGAAATTAAGCTTAGCATGTCCTAGGTGTTTATCAATGAAATTTAAATCACATGTCATTTTGTAGCATTTAGTAAGGTCGCTTAAGGGAATGACATGTTATATAAGTCCAGTGAATATTTTACGAAGACACATGCCTTGAAGTCTTCCTTTAGGCTACGGTAACCTCGTTATCGAACATTCTAATAGCTCATGTACATGCTCAATACATTCAAATAACATAATGATATACATTCCAATTTTTAATTGTGGTCTTTGAACATGACTTATCACGGGGTTGGAATTTAGGTTGAATAAAGCCTCTTTTAGGTTGTGTTACTTTAAATCTTGTCTGATAAAGGACATATATCTTTGTTAAATCGTGAGTAGAAAATGACGAACTTAACAAATCGACGAATTTATAGAAATTCCAAAACATTTAGCTCAATGTTCCACTTTGATATTATGACTTCATTATTCCACTTGAACATCGTTTTGTCCGTTGCTCAGTTTAAGATTCTGGGTTTCTAGGAAACAGATTGAGCATAAACAAATATTTTGAGTGGAAATATATAACATATCAATTAAAAGAGTAGGCATGTAATACAATAATACCCGTGTATCAATATCTGTCATAGAAAATATAGGATCTGATAATTCTTTTATGCTCAAAGTGCGTTCTTATGCGCACGCACAAAAACACCCGCATTTTACAATGCAAGATGAAGACGCACCTGTATGTATTAACCATCTCGCCATATTTATTACATTAGTCATTTTTATTTTCTTACCGTCCGCAGTTTTGAAGAACTAAACGTCGGATTCATGATAGATCGGACCCGTTTCCAGTCAGTGTCTCTCAGGAAGAATATTCCTTTATCCAGAGGACTTGGGGACGTATCCAGCAACTACATACAGTATAATTGTACAGTTACAGGCAATTGTAAATTGAAGCATACACGAAAGAACCCCACATACATGTACGTACAAATACACCGAGCATAACCGAAATAACACAATATCTACATAACTAAAACTAACACCAGTAAGTAGAATGATTTTCATTACAATGATGGAAGGAAACAATCGGACTAGTCCATATATACTGCAAATAGGAAGAAGATAAATAAACAGTCAAAAACATTTCTAACAGGTACAACATTGTCTCTTAAAATAAATTACATATCATTACTTACTTTCCTGTTACAGAATTGTGAGAAGTCTTTGATGAGTACCGCCTTCAGTATGTCTTGATCTTTGACCGTTATACTCTGCATACAACCAAAATACCACCTGTTTAAACCAAACCATAGAGTATGTGTTATAAGCCAGTGGTAATAATAACAATGATAATAATTTGAGGTTCTAATATAACGCTTTATCACAAAGAGGTTCACAAATTATTACCCGTGGTAATTGGGTCTTTGCCACCAGCTCACTACCTGTGGTGAGCATGCAGCCGGTGATGTCACTGAGGTGCTAACAGCTAGCATTCAACAATTACAGCACTGTCTAACCACATGCTCATTTACAGCCGAGTAAACTTGAACAAGCGGAGTAAACAGTCTTGTTCAAGGATACAGCACAGTGCCATGAAGGGATTCGAACCCACGAACCTTCGGTCACGAGTCCGGTGTCCTACCGCTAGACTACTGTGCCTCCATAATTTCTGATTTGTTGGTGTTCTAAGTACTTTTTTCCCATATGGATCGTTATTTTGTCGGTCTAATAATTTTTGAGAGTTTTTTTTTTCTTCTTTTTCTCTCTCACAAATTCTGGTGTTTCCATAAGATTTCATTCCGTAAATAAATGAATACCCCCGCCCCAATCATATCTACAAGGTTTGAAACTCATTCATAAAACAGTGGTGGTTACAGTATATACTTCGGAAACCTGTGCTTCACTGTATTTGAGGTCAACGACAAATATCAAATTGAAGCCACAGTTACCATATTTTAGAATGTTACACACTGAGCGTATCCGTCGGCTAGGGCGACCATCAGGTGAATACAGCAGACTAAGATCTGACATTGTAGAAATCTATAAGCTGATAAACAACATAGCTATAACCAAACAACAAATCATCCCTGTCTTCGACAACCTCAATACGAGGGGGAACTCCAAAAAACTGAAAAAATCGGTACAAGACCAACATTAGGGAACATGCTTTTAAAAATAGAATTGTAAATAATTGGAATCAACTCCATACAATTGTGGTAGATTCCCCAACCTTTAATGTTTTTAAATCTAGACTCAATAAACATTGGGTCAACCATCCAATCAAGTTTTTACCATCGTGCTACTAATATGTAATATAAGTAAATACGCGTCCTCTGCACAACCCGTAAATATGTGAACAACTATGAAGAGGCGTCAACAGAAGCAATACTATGCTTACGAAGACGTCGACCACCACGAACCATGAACAATGAACGTTTGATGTCCGTGAGGAAAACAATGGCTGCGATATTTTGCGGAAACCACGGACAACGTTAACACGAACGAAAGAAAGGACGCAAGCATGCATGGAGAGAGGAACGGACGAAGAGAATACTATATAACCCATACCCCGTCAAAGAAGGGGTATACAAACCATGGAATCAAATATGTGATTAAGTGAATAGATTGTATAAGTGAAATGCGATAAAACAACAACTGAAACAAAAAATGTAGACATAGTCCTGCGACATATGTAATATACAGTAATTGCAATATTTGCTGTAGAACATGTTCCTATAAAAATGTCAAATATCATAAGAATAGCGTTCTCAAATCAAAATATATGTATAGAAATTTCTCAGACGAACTTTCACTTTCACTGATCAATCTAAATGTGATGTTTTTATCATAGATAATGTATTCAACTTACACGAAAACGTTACCATATTCTTTTAGCCACTTATCCTCCATTTCAGTTGTACCCTAAAACAACAAAATCATTTTACAACTAAGTTGTCATAAAAGTGCTTCAAACGGAATTCAGCTGAAAAAGAAAACGGAAATAAATGAGTCTCCAAAATACATTGACAAATATTACCTAACATAAGCGATTAAAATTTAAATATCATGACGTCATCAGAACTGTGGGACAAGGCCAGTAGTCATTGTGTACCCCATATTTCAAACAGGATGTAATGTTATGAATGAAATTATTTATATGTTGCCTTTTATCAAATGTTACGTTGACAGGAAACTGATAGGTATAAGTCATCGATTACTTCTTCGACAATAACGATAAAAAATATATTTTATTTGCATTTTCGCTTACATTTTATAAGATATCTTGAGACAGTACATATCACTACAAAAAAACACAAGCAATGATATTAGGAATATATCTACATGATGAGTGAAAATTCAGTCTCAATATGATATAGACATATTATCCTATATATGGTGCATCATTACTGTATACCCGACTAAGACATTTGCTTGAAAAAACCCACATATCATTTCGAGCCTGAGCACGGTTTCATGAATACGGGCCCGGAAAGTATTTCGAAAGAAAAAGGAAATGAATAAACAGCATTTGGAAGTGTTTTCAAGGCATTGAACATTTGCAGCGAAACATCTTGGATATTTCTCTTACAGCTTAACACATTTTAACGCAGTAAATTACTACACAGACATGTATATCATTAAGTGTTTCCTATATACCGACACAAAAACTGTTTTGAATTTTATATATTGGATTGACTTAATTATATACTATTAATGTATACTGATTATCTTCTTCTAGATGTCAAAGTCTCTGTATCTTGCTGTAAGCAGAAACAATGATTTAATCCTGCAGTGTGACAAGAAAAAAGCAAAGCCTTAATCTTGCAGTGTGACATGAAAACAACAAAATCTTAATGTTGCAGTGTGACATGAAAACAACAAAGTCTTAATCTTGTAGTGTGACATGAAAAAAAAGTCTCAATCTTGCAGTATGACATGAATACAATAAAGTCTTAATCTTGCAGTTTGACATGAAAACAGTAAGGTCCTAATCCTGCAGTATGACATGAAAACAATAAAGTCTTAATCTTGCAATGTGACATTTAAACAGTTAAGTCCTAATCTTGAAGTGTGACATGAAAACAATTAAGTCCTAATCTTGCAGTATGACATGAAAACAATAAAGTCCTAATCTTCCAGTGTGACATGAAAACAATTAAATCTTAATCTTGCAGTGTGACATGAAAACATCAAAATCTTAATCTTGCAGTATGACATGAAAACAACAACGTCTTAATCTTGCAGTATGACATGAAAAAAACAAAGTCTTAATCTTGCAGTATGACATGAAAAAAACAAAGTCTTAATCTTGCAGTATGACATAAAAACAACAAAGTCTTAATCTTGTAGTGTGACATGTAAACAACAATGTCTTAATCTTGCAGTGTGACATGAAAACACTGCAGTGTGACAAGAAAAAAGCAAAGCCTTAATCTTGCAGTGTGACATGAAACCAACAAAGTCCTAATCTTGCAGTGTGACATGAAACCAACAAAGTCCTAATCTTGCAGTGTGACATGAAACCAACAAAGTCCTAATCTTGCAGTGTGACATGAAACCAACAAAGTCCTAATCTTGCAGTGTGACATTGCAGTGTGACAAGAAAAAAGCAAAGCCTTAATCTTGCAGTGTGACATGAAAACAACAAAATCTTAATCTTGCAGCGTGACATGAAAACAACAAAGTCTCAATCTTGTAGTGTGACATGAAAACAAAGTCTCAATCTTGCAGTATGACATGAAAACAATAAAGTCTTAATCTTGCAGTGTTACATGAAAACAATGGAGTCATAATCTTGCAGTGTGACATGAAAACATCAAAATCTTAATCTTGCAGTATGACATGAAAACAATAAAGTCTTAATCTTGCAGTGGGACATGAAAACAACAAAGTCCTAATCTTGCAGTGTGACATGAAAACAACAACGTCTAAATCTTGCAGTGTGACATGAAAACAAAGGCCTAATATTGCAATGTGACATGAAAACAGTTAGGTCCTAATCTTGCACTATGACATAAAAACAATAAAGTCCCAATCTTGCAGTGTGACATGAAAACAATAAAGTCCTAATCTTGCAG